TTAGTTACCGTAATTATGTAAGTATTGTGTACTGCCAATTGTGTATATTAGCTGGAAATAGGTTGAAGTGCTAATTGCTCATAGTTGTCAACAATTTCCCATTTCAAAGCAGACTGTGTTGTTTTTTTTTGTAAGATAGTGAGTCTCTAAACATACATATGCTGGGATGTACAGAGTTGTATGCTAGCAAAGCTTTATTAAATATACAGTATAATGCTAAAAGGCCATATTGTAGCGGTACACATACAAAGCAAGCCATGGCAATGAAGATATGGGCTTTCCTGTAGTTGGTTCTTTGTGCAGCATTAAATTGTAGTTAATCAAAGGTTAAGGATCAGATTACATATCAGGCTAGAGACAATTACACTACATGTTGAACTTGTCATTTAATCCTGTAATTAGAGTGAACCAGTCACCCACTCTTACTCACACTATCAAATGTCTTGTAGCACTTAGCAGGGTTAGTTAGACCTGTCTGATGTGCTAGCCACAAAGACATACACTGCAGGAAGTAGTTTTATGGATCCTGTATTATGCCAATTATATGAGAGCAAACACATTAACAGAAGATTGCATATATCTCATTGGTTTATTGCAGCCACACCTCCTTCTTTTTTTTTTTTTTTTTTTTTTTTTTAAAACACAGGGCCAAACATTCTACTGCAACAATGGACAATCCACAAGGAAGCTAGTCAAGTAGATGTCTAGGGGCCCCAGATACAACTTTTGAGCATCTGCAGTGAACCAGAATGATAGTGCATTTTGTCAGTAATGCCCCTGTCCGCCATTTTACAAGGGATGATGCACTTGTAGGCAGTTGGTGTCTGAAAGGACGGCCATGCTAGTGTGGACTATCCCTTCTGTGTATATTCCTGTGTCCTTATCAATATCAGTTGAATGGATTGGGGGCCAAAGCTGCTACCTTTCCTAGATCCCATTCCGCCTTAAACCAGCCTTGTTTTACTATTGCCTATTCTACTCCATCTTACATACTCATATTTCTACAGACTAAGGAGCACATTAGATGGAGAATAAACCTTGCTACTACTTAGGAACCTGTCTACTGTATATTGTTTTTCGATGACATATAGAAATGCCTGTTTATATCCTATGAGTGCACATGGCCTGTAATTGATAATGATACTCTTTGTTGGGGAAGATTGAAGATATTCCAAATGCAGACGCTTGACCTTTTTATACATTGGCAATCTTCCATAGCTGTGCCTTTTTTTTTTTTTTTTTTTTTTTTTTTTTTTTTTTTTTTTTTTTTTTTTTTTTTTTTCAGTCTTCTGTGCCCCATAGACAGCTTAATTACAACCCAAGATTTATTTATTGTTTGCTGGACATCTAAATATTGATGGGTGCTTTTTGCTAACACACTGAGGAAGATTTACTAAAATGGGAGCATGCAAGCTGGTGCAGAACTGCATAGAAACCAATCATATTTTAGGTTTTATTGTCAAAGCTTAATTGAACAAGCTGAAGTTAGAAGTTAAGTGGCTACTGTGCTCAGCTGCACCAGATCCAGACTGCACCAGTTTTAGTAAATCTCCCCCCTCTGCCTTGTATCTTTGCTTTTCTTAAAGTGACTCACTATTTGTATAAGATCAAAACAAGCAATCCCTGTAAAGAAAACAATGAATACTTACCTGTACCATTGCCTGCATCACTGAACTCTGTTGGGTTTAAGAGAATCTTTCTGAAAGATCTTCTGCATCTGACACTTCCCAAGAGTGTTGGATGCCGGAGTCCCCTGCCATATGCTGTGATTCTGCACTGACATTTTCTATGTTACTACAAGACATAGAAGTGACATACGGCCTGTGAAAGGAACCACTGAGCACCAGGGGAGACCAGACATAACATAACCAGGAGTAGTGTGTCAGATGCAACTTTTCTCTCTCCAACCCCACAGAGCTCTGTAGCATAGACAGGGGGCCAGGTAAGTAGAATTGCGTTTTTTTGTTGTTGTTTTTATTGTAAAATCTGTAATTGTTTTTAGAGTTTAAAAATAGCAACAAATGTATGTTTCTCTTAAAGCTGAACTCCAGCTAACAACATCTGGACATTTTACACTTTAAAACGAAATCACCATTAATGAATGGGTTACAGCATTCTGTAAAACTCTTTTAATTATCCCCTATAGTAAAGTAAGCACCTAACTTCCTGTGCTAAGAGTTACAGTTCTGTCTTGAGTACAATACTCACAGTCCACACCTCGTCCATTAAGAAAACAACATATTGCATTCTTTTCACAGAATGCAAGCCATTCTGGGAATGAAGGAGGTGCAGATGAATGTCACAATCTATTTTCCTCCAATCACAGAACAATTTGCATCCTGTGAAAAGAATACTAGACATTTTCTCATTGGACAAAGTGCCAAGCAAGTAGCCTGCTATGATCTGTGTACTCCAGCAGGAACTGTTCGTTTCAGAGCTCGACTTTCAGGCACTTACTATACTGTAAGTGTAAATGAAAGTGAGAGTTTTGCTACTCATGGCACATGTCAATGGCTAATTTATTTTTACAGTGCACATGTCCAGATGTTAGCTGGAGTTCACCTTTAACCCCTTCCTGCCGACAGTACGCATACACAGTATATGGTCCCACTGAACAGGGCTTTTTTCCATGGGGCTGTATATATGTGTATTTATGTTTGTGCTAGGAGCGCACCGTGCTGTGTGTTCCCAGCACAGAGACCAGGGTCTCACTGGGAGCATCGGGTTCCATACTAATGATTGAGACCTGCAACTTTGCGTTCCCTGTCACCTGATCGCTGCGATATCCTCTGATTTGACTATCACAGTGATCTGTGACTGTGAAGCCTGCTACTGTATTTTCCCTATCTCTGAAAGCAGAGGAGAGATGTTCTCTGTCTCTATCTCTGTCTCTCTCATAAAAAAAATACAAAAAAGAAAATATACCTAGATCAAAATTTGATCTAGGTCAGTGTCAGGGTTAGTGTTGGGGTCAAGTAAGGATCAAAGGTCTTGATAACACTATTGTTTCTGGGCTGTACTACGGATACTTACAGCAATTAACATACACATATGTGGTATTGCTGCAATCGTCGGGAGCAGGAAAATTTATATTGGGTTGTTCTTTGGTGGCAGATTCTGGTAGTGGCAGGAAATATACAGCTAAATTTAAAAAAAAAATGCTTTTTTTTTTTTTTTTTACTATTGTGTCCTAGTTTTCCTTTGATAATAAAAACAAAATCAGGAGATATCCACTACCATTTACCACCAAATGAAAGCCCAATTTGTCCTGAAAAAAAACAAGGTATAATCCAGCTGGATGCACACATTAGTTGTGATGATACGTATGGTTTTTCTAACACATGTCAAAGTTGCAAAATTCTGCTTAAGCATTAACATTTTGTTTTACCCTTAGGCACGAGGGGATTAAGAGAAACCTATTGTCTGGGTGTGATTTTTCTATTTTGTTTTCCGCTTTTTTTTATGTGTGTTTTTTTTTTTTTAAATCCTTGTTTCTATGTATACAGTAATTTTTAGGTATGTACATGGGGAAAGTCATATTTTCTTTTGCATAGTGTTCGTACCTTGCTTTTTCTCTTTTTGGCTTGGCCTTTAGGACTGGTTTACTAAAGGACATAAGACTGTTCGATAAAATGTGTGAAGTTTTACCTAAATTACCCAATGAAATACACAGATTAAAAGAAATAATTAGAAGAATTGAAGTGAATCTTTCATTTTGTTTGAATGTTCTCAACTTCTTTTAGTAAATCGGCCCTTCTATCACAGCATTTATTAGAAGGGGATGTTGACTAAATTCCAGACTCAAATAGACCAGTACTATATTCAGTGGGACTATTCAGTAACATGCCACTCTAGCTGAGCTGAGACTCCTGCCCAAAATAATGACTAATATTTTTAGAGAAAACGATGTTACAATTGGTATGGAATTTTAGAGTATGCCAGATTTGGATTCTTTTAAAGCAATTTTGAGTTGTACCTAGTTGTGTCTGATTTTACCATATTTGCTGTCGTGTGACTACATGAACAACCAATTTGCAAATTCATGCCCAGCTATTAGACTGCAATTACATATACCAAAATTGCATACAGATGGGAGCAGAGAAACTAGAGCGCCTAGTATAGCTAGGAACTTTCTATAGCTAGTCACACTCTAATCATAGGTATGCCTGAAGGGATTCAAATCTAACGAGTTGTTACTATATTTAAGAGAAACAACTTTTTTTTTTTTTTTACAAACAGCCTTCAATACAGCCAATATGGCCTAGATTTCTTGCAGTCTGAGCACAACTGGTATGCAGTCTTGTACTGCACCCTCCCTTATCCACTGCATTTTGCTAATTGACATTATGGCTTAAAGAACAGACCAAGAAAGGCTTCATGGGACCTCGGCTTTTTGTTCTAGTTCATACATGTTCAGCTATATTATGCCGGTAATAATCAACATTTAAACTATTCTGCATTTCCTTAGCAGTTTGAAAAGTATGTAATCCCTAACAATGAACTTCTTCTATTTGCATTATTAGTCTATTAAATATACTGTTAAAATTTTTGGATATACATGTGTTGCTACCAGAAACTCAGTGAGCTTCTAACTCCCTGTAGTGTGCTGACAGCAGAGTGCTTTTGCTGAATTGAACTCCCAAGCAATGTTATTGAACATGGGCAGTTCTTCAATATAGACAACAGGACAACCCCTTGCCCATGTTATTGAGATGCTCTCTGAGCAAAATAAATTCACCACAAAGAAAATATATATATATATATATATATATATATATATATATATATATATATATATATGTGTGTGTACACACACTATATTGCGCAAAGTATTGGGACACCCCTCCAAATCACTGGATTCAGTTCCAATCACCTCCATGGCCACAGGTGTATAACATCAAGCAACTAGGCTTGCAGACTGCTTCTACAAACATTTGTGAAAGAATGTGTCGCTCTCAGGAGCTCAGTGAATTCAAGCATGGTACCGTGATAGGTTGTGCAATAAGTCCATCCATAAAATTTTCTTGCTACTAAATATTCCATGGTCAATGGTTAGTGGTAATATAACAAAGTGGAAGCAACTGGTAACAACAGCAAATCAGCCACGAAGTGGTAGGCCACATAAAATGATAAAGCAGGGTCAGCGCATGCTGAAGAGCACAGTGCCCAAAAGTCCCAACTGTCTGCAGAGTCAATAGCTAAAGACCTCCAAACTTCATGTAGCCTTCAGGTTAGGCCAACAACAGTGCATAGAAATCTTCATGAAATGGGTTTCCATGGCCGAGCAGCTGCATCCAAGCCTTACATCACCAAGTGCAATGCAAAGCATCGTATGAAGTGGTGTAAATCATGCCACCATTGGACTCTAGAGCAGTGGAAATGTGTTCTCTGGAGTAATGAATCATATTTCTCTGTCTAGCAATCCAATGGACATGTCTGGGTTTGACAGTTGCCAGGAGAATGGTACTTGCCTGACTGCATTGTGCCATGTGTAATGTTTATTGGAGGGGGGATTATGGTGTGGGGTTGTTTTTCAGGGGTTGGGTTTGGCCCCTTAGTTCCAGTGAAGAGAACTCTTAAAGTGTCAGCATACCAAGACATTTTGGACAATTTCATGCTCCCAACTTTGTGGGAACACTTTGGGGATGGCCCCTTCCTGTTCCAACATGACTGCACATCAGTGCACAAAGCAAGTCTATAAAGACATGGATGAGTGAGTTTGGGGTGCATGAACTTGACTGGCCTGGTTCTGACCCTAACTTGATAGAACACCTTTGGGATGAATTAGAGTGGAGACTGCTAGCCAGGCCTTCTCATCCGACATCAGTGCCTGACCTCACAAATGTGCTTCTGGAAGAATGGTCAAACATTGCCATAAACACACTCTTAAACCATGTGGACATCCCTCCCAGCAGAGTTGAAGCTATTATAGCTGCAAAGGGTGGGACAACTCAATATTGAACCCTACGGACTAAGAGTGGAAGGCCATTAAAGTTCATGTGTGTGTAAAGGCAGGCATCCCATACTTTTGGCAATATAGTGTGTGTTGTATGTTTGTATGTATATGTGTGTGTGTGTGTGTGTGTATAAATGTATGTGCGTGTGTGTGTATAAATGTATATGTGTGTGTGTGTGTGTATAAATGTGTATGTGTGTGTGTATATATATATATATATATTATATGATGAGACTCATTGTCATTGTGAGAAGATCTGACACCGAATTTGCATTTAGGATGAATATGATGTTCCACACTAGTGTCTCTGGGCTGGATGAAAGCTGTGGATTTGGCTTTCTCTGGATTCTGCAGCTCTGGATAAAAACTGTAGATTTGGTTTTCTCTGGATTCTGCAGCTCTGAATTGGAACATTCAATCCTGTGTCCGGGACACCTTCAATCTGGAGTACACAGGTGTGCAGTGTAGTTATATACGCTGATCTGAGGGTAGCTCAGAGCTCCCAGTGGGGGTAATGGAAGGTCTCATTGAGGGGTCAGAGGACCACAGTCAGAAGCCAAGAGACAGAGGTCTCCGTTCCAGGTGTCAGGAGAACCCCAATCCATAGGTCAGAGGTGGGCTGTGCAGCAGGGTACTGTGACTAGAGGCTAGAGAGTAAAGCATCCAGGAGAACTAGACAACACAGTCAGAGAGACTGGTAAGAGGAGCAGCATGATACTGCAATTGAAGCTGAGTGATCTTATGAGCCAGGTGACTCAACATTTTCGTGTGTGTGTGTGTGTGTGTGTGTGTGTGTGTGTGTGTGTGTATTTCTCCTGAAGCTGCAGAAGATCCCCTGCATGGGAAGTCATTTTTTGGTGAACCTTTGCTTTCTTTAAAATAAAAGTGGTCTGCCAAGCCCTTAGAAATAGTTCCTGCCTGCTGTGGGCTCGCTAAAATAACACCTCTACTATGAGTTCTAACTACCCCATGTCACGATATATATACATACACAATGGCCTTTACAACCACTTTAGGCAGTACAGACTGTGATTAGACAAGAAAGAAAAAGCAGCATGCTGATGAGGTTGTCATTCTGTTCTCTCCTCCCATTCAGACCTCTGACTGACAGTACTGTGCAAAGCAATAGATCTGGTTGGCTCAGAGTGCTGCTCTTCCCTCTTCCAATGTTAGTCAACAGTGCAGGGGGGGTAATGAGAGACAGGTCTCAAGACAGATTTTGTTACTAATTGGATTAAATTGTGTTTTTTTTTTTTTTTTTTTTTTTTTTTTTTTTTTTTTTTTTTTATATTGCCCTGCAGTTCAGCTTTAAACCCTTATTCTGCCGAGAGTATGATATTTACTGACTGAAGCAGCAATGGGGAGTTGCTTACAGTGGAGTTTTATATGCCATATGTTACATTTTTAAACAATGATAGAGCACAGAAGTGTACACAAATGTGCCTCTTTGATATCTTTCTGAAGGAATCTGCTTGACAGGCTCTCAAATCCTGCAAATTATCCTTAGATCTACATTTTTGAATGCCAACTTATCTTTGCATAAGAGATGAGCATACATTTTGTAGTCATTTAACTGCAAGAAATGCATGTGCAAAGCAGTATCAGGATGTTTGAGCTATTACTTTGATCTGAACTACTTGCACGCATACATATTTTAGTGAATTTATTTTGATTAGCATGAGGTTAAAAGATTTAGCAAAAATGTAACGATCCAGCTGTGGCTGAACTAGAATTCCCAGCATATAAATTTCAGCACACAAATCAGACAGGAGTAAAAAAAAATACTATAAAAGCTGAATTCCAGGAAAACATCTAAATACTCAAATTAAATACATGTGTGAAAGCTGTTTTTATCAGCCAAACAATTTGCATTTAGGTCCATTCAGTCCTGAGATGCAACCCCATTGCACAGGACAGCCAGGAGGATGACACCAGTTCCTTTATGTACTATTAAGGAATGCAGTGGTATCAGCTCTACACCCTCTGCCTGCTGATTGGACAGTGAAGGAACAATAGAAGAGTCATAAGATCATCCTTCAGCTCTCCTGTCAGGTTGCTCCTTGTCCGCACATTTGCACACAAAACACCTTCTTGGCTCTTAGAGCTGCCCCCCCCTTAATGCATTTTAAAATAGGAAGTATGCCCAAACCTTTTTTGTTATACTTCTCTTTTGGATCACAGAAATACGTTTACTAATGTTCTCCTATGACCCAGAAACAGCTGTAGCAGGCTATTGCTATCAGTTGCCACTGTAGAGCAGCGCAACTTTTGGGAAGGATCCTGACAACATTGTAGGGATCTACCTGACTGCCTGATTGATAGCAGACAGTTTAGTTGACAATTCACATAAGCTCACTAGTAACCAGGGGCGGACTGACAACTCATGGGGCCCCCGGGCAATAGGGGATCATGGGGCCCCTGTGTCCTTGTCCAAACTCAAAAAAGCCTATGAAAAAGGTACCGGGGCATCTCATGGGGCCCCCTACTGACCCCGGGCCCTCGGGCAGTGCCCGAGTTTCCAAATGGTCAGTCCGTCCCTGCTAGTAACTGTTATAATGTCTTGAAGGCAACCATTTTGGAAACCGTTAAAAGCTGAACACATGATTACACCTATCTAATCCTAAACCTGCTGCCACCCCCATAATAAGTTTGCCTTTTTCGGGGAGAGGAGAGATTTCTGGCAATGGCCGCAAAGCCTGTGCAGTGACATCACCCATAGACTTACTATGTGGCATCTGTTGTCAGCTGTCCCTCTTCTCCCCTGTGTAGTGATTTTTATTTGGAGTTCCACTATAATGCTAGAGTCTACAGCAGAAGCTAAATTGCTGTCTAGAGTCGCTCACACAAACCTTTCATGATCATACATGTCAGCTGCAAACTCTGTCCCCTCCTTTATTCTTGCATATGGAATCCCAGGACAGGAGCTTCTATGCTGCATTGCCTATGACTATTCATTACCAGATGGCTGTAAGTTATATGAAGTAGAAAATTTCTGTGAGGGCAAGCATGTTCTTCAAGGCTTAGCATGATCTATGGCAGTGGTGTGGAATATATAGGCATCCTCCATACCACCTAAGGTTTTCAGCTCAATATTTTGGTTATTGACCTACCAAAATTATAACTGAATGCAGTACAGGCCTTTACCTGGATTTAACATCCAACTACAGTAAAACTTTGTTTGTTTTGAACAAAGCAGGGAATGCTTAGAAAATTGGTCAGGTTTTTTTCGATGGCTATGCCCTTGTTGAGGATTTTTCTTCCATCCAGTCCAGTCCTTCTAGCACCATACGGACAGTAATGGGGAGCTCGACTTACAAGAACACCATGTTATTGATTAATTACAAGAAATAGCCATAACACCATTCTTGTACTTCAAAAATTCATTGTGGTCAAAATACATAAACGGTCACCTTTCTTTTTGTCATGAATTTTGCATTTTGACCTCATTAAATGTTTGCGGTACATGGGATGTGTGCTGGCTATTGCTTCAGGTACATGGGCCGTGTGCTGGCTATTGCTTCAGGTACATGGGCCGTGTGCTGGCTATTGCTTTTCAGGTACATGGGCCGTGTGCTGGCTATTGCTTTCCGGTACATGGGCCGTGTGCTGTATTGCTTTCCGGTACATGGGCGTGTGCTGGCTATTGCTTTCCGGTACATGGGCCGTGTGCTGGCTATTGCTTTCCGGTACATGGGCCGTGTGCTGGCTATTGCTTCCGGTACATGGGTATTTTTAAATTAAATTATGACGAGATTTTCCCTCACCCCTGACTGACACAAAATCATCTCCCTAAAGACTAATACACTACTAGAAAATGTTTTATTTCCCATTTGGAGGGAATTGCCCTAACTTCTCCTCTGCCTTAAACTCATGGGGACAAAATTAGCAATAAATGTTGACAAAGGTTCTAACCATTTTTCTCTCCATCCAAAAGTATGAAAAAGGTGTACATGAAACTTGGGTTTACCCAGCCCTGGAACCTGTGGGCACAAGTGATGGATCTGTTGCTGGCCCTGTTGGCACAAAGTGGTATGTGGAATCCTTAGTGGTAGCTCCCTATCTTCTCTGAGGAACCCAGGAGATTATCAGGGTTGTAAGACTACAAGGTTGTGGCCTGAGGAAAGGTAGGTCTATGGAGGCAGTGCCTGGTAGGTCTGAGAAGGCAATGCTCAAGGTAGATAGGAAAGAGGAGACAATATTGAGGAAGAATACACAAATGAGGTATAAAAACTAAAACTAGTGGCAGGAATCGCATACTGTATGTGTAACTACCAAACAGGCCAAGATTTGTGGTAGGCAACAATACAAAAGGAGCTACTAAACAAACAAGCAGGCATAGAAGCCTGCTATGTTTGTCAGTGTACTGGACAGATTATCCAAGCAGAACTCCAATCCAGAAATATCATACAATTA